GAGAGTTGGTTCCCTTTTCTCTACACCCTCTTTAACATTTGTTATTTTTAATGATGGCCTGGTGTGAGATGGTACTTTTCAGACTGGTGTGAGATGGTACTTCATTGTCATTTTGATTTGCATTTCTCTAATATTTGATTTGCATTCTCTAGATTTGATTTGCATTTCTCTAATAATTACTGATGTTGAGCACCTTTTCACATGGCTGTTGGCCATCTGTATATCTTCTTTGGAGAAAAGTCTATTTAGATCATCTGCCTATTTTTAAATTGGTTTTGTTGTTTTTGTGGAGGTTTTGTTGTTGTTATTATTGAGTTGTATGAGCTGTTTGCGAATTTTGGAAATTTAGCCCTTGTTGGTTGCATCGTTTGCAAATATTTTCTCCCGGTCCATAGGTTGTCTTTTCAGCTCATTTGTAGTTTGCTTTGCTGTGCAAAAGCTTTATAAGTTGGATTAGGTCCCATTTGTTTATTTTTGCTTTTATTTCTATTCCCTTGGGAGACTGACTGGTATGATTTATGTCGGAAAATATTCTCTTCTAGGAGTTTTATGATGTCATGCTTTCTGTCTTTAAGTCTATGTCTTGATGCTTTAAGTCTTCAAGCCACTTTGAGTCTTTGCGTATGGTATGAGAGTGTGTTCTGACTTCGTTGATTTACATGCAGCTGTCCAGCTTTCTCAACACCAGTCGCTAAAGAGACTCATTTCCCCATTGTATATTCATGCTTCCTTTGTCAAAGATTAATTGACTGTAGGTGTATGGGTTTACTTCTGAACTCTCTGTTCTATTGATCCATCTGTCTGTTTTTGTGCCAATCCCACACCATTTTGATTGCTCTAAGTTTGTAGTATTGTCTGAAGTCTGGGAGGGTTATGCCTCCTGCCTTGTTCTTTTTCCTCAGGATTGCTTTGGCAATTCTGTGTCTTTTATGGTTCCAAATTAATTTTAGGATTATTTGCTCTAGTTCTGTGAAAAACATCATGGGTAATTTGACCATGAATCACATTAAATCTATAGATTTCTTTGGGTAGTATGTCCCTTTTAACAATATTAACTTCTCCAATTCAAGAGTATGGGATATTTTTCATTTCTTTAAAACCTTCAATTTTCTTAACACTTTATAGTTCTCAGCTTATGTCTTTCACCTCCTTGGTCAGGCTTACTCATAAGTATTTTTACTATTTATTTATATATTTTTGATGCTATTTTATTTTATTTTTGATGCAATTTTAAAAGGGTTTTTTTTTTTTTTTAACTTTTCCTTTCTGAATTTCATTGTTAAAGAAATGCAACTGATTTACCCAGTTTTATATTGAGAGACACTAAAGTTGCTTCCAATCTGATTTAGGAATAATGTTAGATTAGCTTTATACCTGTCATTTCTAGCATGTGTGAGAGTACCTATAGGATAATAAATTTCTTGAAGTGGAATGACCCGCTGTTACATGAATAGATATGTGCTTTTAAACCTTGGTGTTTTGAAAACTTGCTCTATTGGAGGTTGTATCCATCTGTACTGTTCTACAAATGTACATGTTGGATATGCCATGGTAAAAGTAGGTGTGGTCACTTAGGACTGAGGCTTGGGAGGACAACATTTATTATACTGACAGATCTCAGAGTAGAGATGACCACGTGCCACTCGGGGCTACAGGGGAAGCACCATATTCTGGCAGAACACAGGAGCAAGGGAAAGGTCTAGGTCAAGGTCTTTATTGGAGTTTGTTTGGGAAAGGCAAGGTAGGGGAGAATAAACAATTTAGGATTGGCTAGTCTGAACGATGGGGGGTCCCTGATAGCTCAGTTGGCAAAGAATCTGCCTGCGATGCAGAAGACCCTGGTTTGATTCCTGGGTCGGAAAGATCTGCTGGAGAAGGGACAGGCTACCCACTCCAGTATTCTTGGACTTCGCTTGTGGCTCAGCTGGTAAAGAATCCATCTGCAATGCGAGAGACCTACGTTTGATCACTGGGTTGGGAAGATTCCCTGGAGAAGGGAAATCACTCTGGCCTGGAGAATTCCTTGGACCATATAGTTCATGGGGTTGCAGAGTTGGACACAACTGAGTGACTTTCACTCACTCACTTAGTCTGAACAATTCCAGTGGACTTTGAGCTATAGAAGTGGTCTCTAGATGCCTGGGGGTCTAAGGCAGAGGAAGTCAGGTCTAAGGCCCTGGGATGCCTTAGGGCAGAGGAATACAGTACTGGTGAGTGAGAATGAGATAAAGAGGTGGCTGGGGCAATAGACGTGGGATTGGCTGCTGCCTGTGTGAAAGACGTGGTCCTGGGCAAGCCCTTTGTTATAAGGGCTTAATCCTGGAAGAGGCAGTCTCTCCAGCCGGCAAACTTTTTAAGATGTAGGAACATAAGATACAGAGAGAAAAAAATTATTGCATAGGCTTTAATTAACAGCATAGAAGATCACCTGTTTTCTCCCAACTTCACCAACACTAACAAACTGATGTTTGGTAATTTGGTGAAAAATGACAGCCAGTTGTAATTTTGAGTCATCTATATTTCCTTTTTCCCTCCTTCTCTGCTACTATTTTTCTCATTCATTCCCTAAAAATATTAAGTGCTTACAATAGGCCATGTACTTAAGATGTGTGAACAAAATAAACAAAGGCCCTTGCCCTCAGGGAGCTTACATATCAATAATTGTATATATAGGGCCCATTAGGGAGAAAACTACACAACTTTAGAGAGACATAAAAAAACTAACTGAAAAGACAGTGTTGATAGATAATCAATGTCAGAAACAATGGTGGCAATTATTACCAACTCAATAGGTTGTGGTATGGGACAAGAGTTTTTTGGGGGACATGCAAAGATGGCAACTTGAAATAATGAGTAGGAGCATTTTGAAACAGCAAAGTAGTATATGAGGGGTATCTGCTTTACCGGGTGTTAAAACATACTATGAAAACATAATAATGCCATCTGTGTGGTACAGGTACAATAACAGAGAACTAGAAACTAACTCTAGTTTAAATATGATGTACCTGTGTGTAAATAAGTACCACTACTTTGAAACGCTGGGCTGGAGGAAGCACAAGCTGGAATCAAGATTGCTGGGAGAAAATATCACTAACCTCAGATATGCAGATGACACCACCCTTATGGCAGAAAGTGAAGAACTAAAGAGCCTCTTGATGAAACTGAAAGAAGAGAGTGAAAAAGTTGGCTTAAAGCTCAACATTGAGAAAACTAAGATCATGGCATCTGGTCCCATCACTTCATGGTAAATAGGTGGAGAAACAGTGGAAACAGTAGTAGATTTTATTTTTTTGGGCTCCAAAATCACTGCAGATGGTGATTGCAGCCTTGAAATTAAAAGACACTTACTCCTTGGAAGGAAAGTCATGACCAACCTAGACAGCATATTAAAAAGCAGAGATATTACTTTGCCAACAAATGTCCGTCTAGTCAAGTCTATGGTTTCTTTGGTAGTCATGTATGAATGTGAGAGTTGGACTGTGAAGAAAGCTGAGCGTCGAAGAATTGATGCTTTTGAACTGTGGTGTTGGAGAAGACTCTTGAGAGTCCTTTGGTCTACAAGGAGATCCAACCAGTCCATCCTAAAGATCAGTCCTGAATGTTCATTGGAAGGACTGATGTTAAAGCTGAAACCGCAATACTTTGGCCACCTGATGTGAAGAGCTAACTCATTTGAAAAGACCCTGATGCTGGGAAAGATTGAAGGTGGGAAGAGAAGGGGACGACAGAGGATGAGATGGTTGGATGGCATCACCGACTCAATGGACATGAGTTTGGGTAAATTCTGGGAGTTGGTGATGGACAGGGAGGCCTGGCGTGCTGCAGTCCATGGGGTGGCAGAGTTGGACATGACTGAGCAACTGAACTGAAATTTCATTATAGTTTTTCAGTACTTAAAATATTTGGGGACTTCCCTGGTCATCCGGGCTTCCCTTGTGGCTCAGTTGGTAAACAATCTGCCTGCACTGTGGGAAACCCGTGTTTAATCACTGGGTTCGGAAGATCCCTTGGAGAAGGGAAAGGCTACCCACTCCAGTATTCTGGCCTGGAGAATTTCATGGACTAAGTCCATGGGGTCGCAAAGAGTTGGACATGAATGAGTGACTTTCACCTTCACCTTCCCTGGTCATGCAGTGGTTAAGATTCTGCTCCCAGTGCAGGGGACCTGGGTTCAATCCCTTGTCGGGAAACGAAGATCCCACGTGCCACAACTACAGAGCCTGTACGCTGCAACTCCTCAGCCCACACTCTAGAGCTTGAGCACCACTACTAGAGAAGCCTGCGTGCTGAGATGGATCCAGGTGTCCTAAGGGTTATCCACATGTACCCAGTGTTAAAAAGCTCAGGGGGGAAACACCCCACAGAGGCAATAGGGGAAGAGTATTGGGGCTTTTTAAACACCTCTCTCTCTATATATTTAATAAAAATACATTGATTTTATAATATACCTATATATATATACACACACACAGAAGGGCTTCCCAGGTGGTGCAGTGGTAAGAGAATCCACCCAACAGCGCAGAAGACACAGGACACAGAAGATGTGAGTCAGGAAGATCTGCTGGAGAAGGAAATGGCAACCCACGCCAGTATTCTTGCCTGGAAAATCCCATGGGCAGAGCAGCCTGGTGGGCTACTGTCCATGGGGTCACAGGGTTGGACATTACTGAACTTTTGCATATGCATATATATAGAAAAGTATATGCAAAATAATATAAGAGAAAGGTAATGTTAGAAAAGGTATCAAGTATTTAACTTCTGCAAAAATTCAGGAAGTTAAGGCTGGTGTATTTTCTACTTATTCTTTCAAGGCAAATAGAAAAGTATTATTTTTCACAGTTTGATTTACTAAAATTGTCATGTTTGTCAAGTCTTTCCTGAGCAATCCTTAAAACCAGTCTAAGGCAAACTGACCTTTAAACTTGGGAATACTGTCATCTTAACAAAGGTAAAGGAGATAATGAATGCATCAAAGAGAAACACTTCACAGAATAAGGTGTGGTTGTGAAAATGTCTTTAAATTTGCATATCTTATATAAGCTAAATATATGGGTAAAACATAGCAGTATTCCATTTATGGTCTTATTATCTTTTCCAATTGAGGAAAGCCTAGCACCAAAACACACTGCTTATTAGCTAGATGACAAATGGGCTTCCAGAATGTACTTCTCCATAATGCAATACATTCGTGAAATACTCAAATAAGTACACTAAACAAATACAAGTCTCCAAATACTCTCTCAGCAACACTAAGTTGACACTGATCAGTATTAGAAGAAAAAATAAAAACTATTTGACTTTCATAAGTTTTTAATAAGCTATAATTTTCTTACATGTACACTAGTAACCTTAAAAAGACAAATATTTACTGCCAAATGTTAACTACTGTACAACTTATAAAAAAATATAATCTTAAGAATTTGGAATAATAAAGGGAAGGTACCTACTTCAAATGGATTAAATAAGAAAGTTCCACTTTTTAAGAAATTTAACCAGGAAATGGGAAATTTCCAATCTGCCTAAAGAAACACCAAAACTTTTCACTGAAGTCAGAGACCTTACTGTTTTTGTTCAAGACTTCATCTACAGAGTTTTAAATAAACCCTAAAAAATATTTTCCAGGACATATAAGGCTGGTGCAGAGAATGCATGACTAGGGAAAACGATTCCGTTTGAGTGAGAAGTTGTGAAGAACAGAGACGTATCTTGTTTACCATTACACCCCCAGTTCCTAGCACAGTGCCTGGCTCAAGGTGAAAATGCCGAGCAAAGGTTGTCACTTTGCGCTGAACCAGGCAGATACACCTATCTTCCTTTGGTCCGATTTTCATTCCCTATTAACCACTACCTGAGCTACAGTCCTGGTTCTTGGTCCTTGACCTTAAGTTGAAAACATAAGGAAGATATGCATATACTTTCTACATCAGCCTTTCTGACAGGATCCTCAGAATTGAATCATCATGGGCTATGAATCTTCTCTTATGTGGTATAACTCTTATTTTTTGGATAATATCGGTGTGCAAAGGTAATTCATTTTCAGTGCAGTACAAATATGTTCATAAGAGGAAGAATGGGACAAACGTTTTAAATAACAGATACATAGCATCTTATATTATGACATAGTTACCAGTTTTTAGACACTGAAGATAATACACTGTATTACAATGCAATGTGGTTGGCTTCCATTTTAGGAACAAAAATCAATTTCACATGAAAAAAGATTTATTTTAAATTCACATAAAATACATTCAGAGTAAGTCTAAATTTTTATCACTTAAATAATGTAAAACAAACACAGAGGAGCTTTTAAAGATGTACAGTCTCCATTATGTCCAAAAAGCACACATTAAAAGCTTTCTTATAATTACTGATCATCACCTCGTTGCCTTAAATTTCTAGACTTTCCATTTTCAATTCTTCTCTTTTTGAAGACTGGGGCCACTCCGTCTGCCACGACTCCAAGAGAAGTGACTGTTTTTTCTTTAAAAACCAGTTGAGGTTCCCCAGCAGCATCAGCCTCTGAAGTTGATACATATTCATTTTCAGTGTTTGGAAGTTCCAAATCTACCTCCTCACTGGAACAGAAAGAAAAAAATAAAACCACTATTTGACAGTGTAAAATAAACTTTTACATAATATATGAGTTCACCAAAACCTCAAGGTCATCTTTCTAATGATAATACTGGAAATTAGAAGCTGGTCATTTTGGAGAAGGTGATTATTTTAAAATACTGATTTTATAATATTACTTAAGATACTGAGCATCCGTATAGGTGGACACACAAGGAAAAATCCTTTCTATTGTTTTGTTCCCATTGGGTATATCATTGAAGGAAATGCTTGTACTTATATATGAGAATATATATAAATGAGAAGTGTCTATGAAAAGGGATTTTGCCATAGACTGAGAAGGATTATGAAGGCTTTCACAGCACACAATGAAAACCATGGAATCTCAATGTCCTGATGTAGTAGGACTATCTACTTGGCTGTTATAAATAATCAGATGATTAGTCCAGAGATCAGTACCCTATTAATGAGTCTACCATAGTCTCTACCCTCGACATAGTCAACTGGTCTGTGAAAGAGCATTAAGTCACACCACAGCCATTTGTCCCATCCATGAGCTTTTTGAACATGGACTAGGAAAACCATTATGTTTACCCCGTAGTAGCTAAGCATATAAAACTTGTTGGGAATCATACATTCTCCTACTTAGAGAAAGGAGTTCTGTAGAGATAAAGAGAATAAGGCCTGCAAAGAAAAGCAGGATGGGAGATGGAGAATCCTGCCAATGTTTCAGGCCTGGTTCCAGTTATCTGTGAGGCCCAGCCCAATTCCTGCCTCCCCTGTGGTTTTTAGGGAGAACCTTTCTGGGAATTTTTGGACTAATAACCTTCTTCCTTTCTTTTTTTCTTGTGAGGATCTTAGTTCTCCAACCAGGGATTGAACCCATGCTCCCTGCAGTGGAATTCTGGAGTCTTTAACAACTGAACTGCCAAGGAAGTTCCATTAACCTCTTCTTAAAATTTAAGGTAACTCAAGTTTTTCACTTGAAACCAAAAGACTATCTGGTCAGCATGAAAGGAAGAGTGATGACAAGAGAGAAAAAGGAATAAAAAGGTAAATGGATGATTTAAATGTCAGAAGTCTCAGATATCAAGAGTTGAGAACCCCCCATCTAAGAAGAGTGAAGATTAGTAAAGATCACACCCCCCAATCTCTGAAGAACCCGTGTAATGTAGTCATTCATCTTGATCTTTGGAAACAGAGGAAAACCTTTCCCAAGGGCCAGGAGAAGTCTGAAAGGTTATGGTAGATCTAGAGTAGTAGTTATTCTTTTCCTTTTTGGCCACACCACATGGCATTTGGGATCCTTTGTTCCTTGACCAGGAATTGAACCAGCATCCCCAGCATTGGAAGCACGGAGGCTAACCACTGGACGGTTAGGCAAGTTCCTCAAGTAGCAGCTGTTCTAACAGGAGCATCCACACTGAATGTGTACCATAAAGCAGACTATGACAAGGCACCTGGAGTGGAAATGCTCTTTTGGCTTTTCGAGTGTCTTTTTTAGAACTAGAACGCCTTAAATTTTCCTTTTTTTCCTCTTTTGGAAACAACCTCTTTCTTCCTCTCTGAGTTTTGAGCTTAATTCAATTCACGTCCAGTCAGAATTCACAGTGGTTAGTTCAGGAATGGGAACTGGGTATCTGATGAAAGCTAAACAGGGCCGCTTCTGGAACTGGTAAAGCAGCACTTCTTTATCGCTGGAATCTTTGCTGGTATAAGTCGAAAGCTTTGCTATCAAGTGGGGAGATCCTGCCTGAGAAAGGCAGGCAAGTCAGAGGAAAGCAGAGACAAAAGCTGGAGACCTTCACAGTGATTTCTCATCAACTACGGCTCTTGATAACTGCAGAGACGTGATTTGTATGTGTTTGCTTAGAATTTAAATTTAATATATGCTCTTCCATTCAATTATCTTAAAAGTAACCAGTTTGCTTCCCTCTCACATAGACTGTGCGGAGAGGTCCACAGTGACAGTATTGAGAGCTTTTCACGGTCCAGTCTATATACACGTGGATAAACACACAGGCTTAGAAGAGGTCTCTAAGCACTGTAATAATTTTAAAAACTGAAATAGGAAGCTTGCTAGAACTGCAATAAACAACATAAAAGAAAGTATGTAAATACAAAGAATATAAGAACAAAGAAAATTTTAAATCTGTAATGCATAGGTCAAAACTAGAAAAAACAAAACTAAAAACTATTCTATATAATACAAACGTGAGGAAGCAGCTATCTCAGTAGATCCTGACATTATATAACAATTCCTCAAAATCTGACAAGGGGATGCAGGAAACAGGTGTGCTTACTGGAACAGGTCTTAAATCTGATTTGTTCTGAATACAGATGCCTTCCAAACTTTTCTTTACTGTATTAAACATATATGACAAATGCAACTTTTATTGGCTTTTCCTACTTTCCCTTAGATTGCCAACAATGGTGCTTCCCAAGAAGGCTAGCAGCCCCTGAAGTTGATGGGGTATTCATTCTTGGCTTTTTATAATTTTACAGAGGCGGAAGCTGAGGTTTAGAGAGAAGTTAAATAACTTGGTCAACCAAGCCATTATGGCTGTAATATTACCTGGATTAAAACCCAGGCCAGGGACTTCCCTGGCAGTCCAGTGGCTAAGACTGTGCTCCCAATGCAGGGAGCCCAGGCTCAATCCTTGGTTGGGGAACTAGACCCCAAGTGCTGCAACTAAGAATTCACATACTTCATTGGTCTGCATGCCACAAGTAAAGATCCTGCATGCCACAATGAAGACCTGGCACAGCCAAATAAATAAATATTTAAAAAACAAACAAAAAACCTAGGCCTGTGTTGATCTAAAACCTATATTCTTTCCCCTAGACCCCTCTGCTTCCAGGTGAAACTAAAATATTCCATTAGCCAAGCAGAGAAAGATTTAAGTAATGAATGGTTTGATGGCTGAACAAATGAATCTCTATCCAAGAAAGTCTATGACAGACTCACTTATTTCACAATCTTGGTGTTTTGTGTTGTATTTTGATAAAGTGATCAAGCCATAGTATTATTTCCTAACCGGGATCATGGTAGAGATAAAATAGAGAATGAGTCCATTTCTGAAATCATGGTCCTAGGAAATTCCTAAGTGGAAGCTGACAGAAGTGGCAATGAAGTAGGGAATAAACCCTTGTGACATAATCAGAGGAAAAGACGTTTGAAAGAAAGGTAAGAGACTATAAATAAAATACATTACAGAGAATATACCTTCCTTTCAAATAACTTCAAAAATAATTATATAAACACTTCCTGAAAACCATAGTCATTTCCAAATTAAAAATGCAAACACTGTAAAGGTTACAGTATCTGAACACAATGTAATAAAGGTAAAAAAAACAAACCAACCGACATAAGAATTTGAAAAATAAGTCCTTTTGGAAAACCACCAAGTCAAAAAAGTAAGCAAACACATGATATTAAACTGTTCTAAAAACAATGAAATCAAGAAAGCGTCTCTCAAAGTTTATGTGATATATGGACAAAAGTATACTAAGACACAATATAGCTTTAGTCAGTTTTAGTAAGAACTGAGAACAGACCCCTTACTCACCCACTGTCAGCAGTCTTAAGTGTTCATACGAAGAACAAACACAAAGAAACTTAAGAGGAGTCAGAGGAAGAAAGTTACAGAGGTAGAAATGAAGCAGCAGAAAAATCCATTAATAAATGGATATGTAATTCAATAGACAATTAAAAATAAGAGCTGATTTAATAAGGAAAAACATTCAGAAAACCTTCAGTGGAGACTCCAGTCTCCATCCCCACAAAATGATCAACTATTAGCTATCCATGAAGAAAAACTGCTTGAGTCCATTTAGGAAACTTAAGCAACATAATGGGATGAAATTATTCTCATGGTTGAGAATAACTGCAAAAGAAGAGAAGAAAGACAACTTCCCTTTGCTTGCATCATCCAGAAGGACACTGCTCAGAGACAAGAGGAAACCTCCCAGCTGGAAAGAGTTCCCCTCACCAAGAAAAGACGAGAGGGGTAAGACCAGCTGGTGCAGTCTTTTGGGCCACGTTACCAAAGACCTGCTTAGGTTTCAGCCCACCCACAGCAGCGAAGCCGAGACCTACAGAGATGGACAGGAAAAGGGAAAAAAATGCGGGGCTACAGAGAGCAGCCAAGGGGTGGCAGTGACTGCAGTTCACAGTGATGGGCTCTACGGACAAACAAAGCCGCCTGTGCCGCCGCAGAAAGAACCAAGAGACCTCACAGCTGCTGCGGATGCCCCACAGATACCAGCAGGTACCATGGTGCACAGCTATTCGTGCTCGCGGATGCCAGCTGCCTCCGTCCCTCTCCCCTCGCCGCTGCAGTCAGCTCAGGGTGCTGTGCAAGATGGCAGCCTGGACGGCCCTCCCACGGCTGACACCACTGCCGCTGGCACGCTTCAGGCGAGCTCCTCCAGCGGTGTGCTTGCACGCTGCTGCCCTGCCACCTATCAGCAGCCTCCACTGCCCAGAGGGGAGTAATGCACACGGGAGACGATGCCAACAGCTCGGGTCTCTGCGGCCGCTGGCCTGTGGGCCTGAATCAGGCCCGGTCTTCTCTGTCACTGGCCTGCACAACCCTGCTCCTCAGGAACCAGCCCCTGTGGCTGCATACCGGCATGCCCCGAGCCTGACCCTTGACACCATCCTCCACCGCAGTGTGTATACTCAGGGGGAGATTGTGGAGCCATGAGAAAGCACCCCAACAGCCAGGGTCCCTGAAGCTGCCGGTGAACCTGCAACTGACCCTGGCCCTTGCTGCCTGCCCGCCCTCTACACCCACAGGGATCTCAGCTGGCCCTGCAGCCGAGTCGTCGTACCCCACCAGAGCCAGCCACCACCACCGCCTGTCCCGGCCTTCGGCTGCTGAACCTGGAGGTGCTCCTGAAGACCCCAAAAGCCCCTGGGGAAGCCCTGCAGTGTCTGCTGAGGACCACACAGCTGTTGGATCCTAGTGACCAGAGCTAAAGCGGTGACACAGCCCCTGAATCCAAGGCTGCCAGATGCCCCTGCGTTTGGTGCCCTGAACCACTAGAAAAATCCCACGGCCAGAGGAGCCTGGTGGGCTACAGTCCATAGAGTCACAAAGAGTCAGACATGACTGAGTGACTGAGCTCACAAACACCTATTATGAGCCAGTCACTGATTTTAGTCCTGGGGCTGCAAACATGAGACTTACAGACAGAAGCTGGATAGAAAATCCTACAAAACACCATGAGTAAAAAGAGTAAAAGTGAACTGAAATATAAGTATAAACTTGACTTTTAGATGAAAATAGGTAATAGCAATAAAGCAGATCACAAAGGAAAAGAAATCAGACTAGTTAAACATAACAAAATCTGACACATCTAAAACCATTATAAGCACAATTAAAAGTCAAACTACAAATTCTTCTACTAATAAATGGTTAGTTTCTGTACTACATAGAAATCTTATGCAAGTAAGGAAAGATTAATACTTTAACAGAAAAATTTGCAAAGCATATAAACAGACAATTCACAGAAGAGGAAATACAAAACACTACTAAATACAGGCATAAGAAAAAAAGTTTCAACCTCACCAGTAAATCTACTTAGGAAGTCAGACACAATCCATCACCTGTTAAACTGGCTGATGTTAAGAAGAATGGTTTTTCAGTAAACTTATCACAGGGAAAACAAAATACTCAAATTTTAAGACATCTTAGCTTTAAAGTATAGGTGATATTGGTATAGAAGACCATTCTCCTATTGTAAATCACTTAATGCAGTCTATTATTTCTGCAACTTCAACACACACAGTCAATATACTTTGGTCCCTGGCACTATGCAGCATTGAATACATATTTGGTAATATTTCATTGAATAACATAAATAAAACCTGAATCTTTACTGAAGACAGGTACATTCTGTATGCTTTCACTAAGGAATCCCTCCTTATCAGCGCCGTATATAAAGCTGCCCAAAACTTGCATTCCTCCACCTTGTGAAAAAGTATGACTTTTCCATCAAAGTATAGTTTAACAGTGAATAACTTCACTATGAAAGTATCCACAGCACTAGTGTTTTGCAGAAAAACTGTTTAATTCATATAGATACTTTTTTCCTACCCAAAGATATTTTTTAAGCATTTAAGAAACACCAGTGTGTGAAAGTGTGGGTGAATTTTCCTTTCATTGTGTAAATGATCCAAAGATAATAAGTGATATGAACACATAAGCTAATCATGTAAACCAAGTAACATTTCTACCAGGACCTTGTTTAGTTGATAAAATCGCTATGCTTTATGAATAAAAACTTAAAACCTTGGGTGAAGTGTCACAGCCATTTTCAATACAGTAACAAAACAAGGGCTGTTTTCTTGCCTTTAGATAGATTCCATGAGGCATGTACTAGATATGTAGAAATTTGCTTATCTGATAGAATAACCATGGTAAGTGTGAAAATACTCATGTACATGGCATGTTAGTATGATCAATAGAAATGTCATGTCTCTGTAAGAATGAAAGCAATGCTTAGTTTTACTTTAAAAAAATAAACAGCTTACATTTTAAAATATTTAATTAGAGAAAATAAAACCACTCTAGAAATAAAAGAAACGAGCTACACTTTTTAATGAGCACTGTATTCCTGAAATTAAGTACTACAATTTACGGAAGTACTGGGACATAAAATACTTGTAATAATATAGGACAGGATTAAGTTATAACTGCTGGATTAAGTTTCAGGTACTTACTGGGACTCAACTTCTGGTTTAATTTCCTGCCATTCTCCATATGGGTTTGGTTTTTTATGAGCTTTGGGTTTTTCTTCATTTGGACCTGATGAATTCTTCCCTTGGGTATTTTTTTCTTTGGGTTTTTCTTCACTTGGACCTGATGAATTCTTCCCTTGGGTATTTTTTTCTTTCTGTGTTTCTGGTTCAGTTCTTTTATTAGTATTTTTATTTTTTTCCTGGAATGTCAAAGTCAAGAAATACTAGTAACAAACCTCAAAGAAAACTGCCAGGACCAAAAATTTCTTTAATATAGTCTTGCTACTGATCTATAAATAATAATACATTAACTCAATAGTTCAAATTTGCACATAACACAACAAATGTACATGAAAGGACTTCTTTAATGCTTGATTAGGTTTTTCATTATATCTAAAATGCTAACATACCATGGCCAAGGCTGTTAAGAAATATAATGACCCCTCTACCTGTTCAACACTTAGAGACATACACAGGCCTTATTCATCCTCTCTTTTCCACTTTACTGCTTTCTCTCCTTCTTCACATGTCCAACAGTGACCTCCCTTTAACTGTGTCCCTTCCGAATTTAATGACATGTCACTGGACCCTTCTATACCCATTACCTACGTAAAGAACTCCTGGTGGCTCAGATGGTAAAGAATCTGCTGGCAATGCAGGAGACTCGGGTTTGATCCCTGGGTTGGGAAGATCCCCTGGAGAAGGGAATGGCTACTCACTCCAGTACTCTTGCCTGGAGAATTCCACGGTCAGAAGAGGCTGGTTGGCTACAGTCCGTGGGGTTGCAAAGAGTCGGACAGGACTGAATGACTAACACTCAGCCAATTAGAGTTAACTGAAATCCATCTGCACACTGAGGACACTGCCAGAAATTTACTGGCCTATACAACTGGTAATGACATGAAATTAGCAAAAGACACACCCCTGAAGGAGAAGCAGCTTCTGCAGAGCCCCTGGGGAGAACTGGTGCTTTTACGGCACCCCTTCAACTGGGATAACAAAGCCCTGTGGCTCAGTTTAGCCTCTCTGCAAACTGTGCTACCATGGGTGCCAGTCCTGGGACTGTTCTGTTTGCAATGCTTTGAATGGATGTTAATGCATTCTCTTATGCTGCTGCGCTCACAGAACCAGGACACAGCATCAGCCTTCTCTAGCAATCATGACTGCTTCCAGACCATGTCATTTTGAAAATAAAACATTTTTTCCGAGGACATGAAACTTTTTACTTTGCAATAAACGCCTCCTCTGAGACCCATGCCACCTTCTATGTAACTGTCCTCTGTTCTTCTGCAGTGGTCTAATGACCTCTGACTACTCCACAGAAGTGGGGACACTGGCAACTCGGGCACCACGTTCTCTCTGTTCAAACTCTTGTGGTCATCCTAGTGCTTAAAAATTCCCGACCCTCAGTTTTGTGATGCACAAAACCACTGACTCTGGCCTTCACTATATTTTAGTAACCTAGTAAGGTATTTTCCTCACATGTAGCACCTGGTGCACAGGTAGTATTCAAATATTAAATCCTCACATTTATGTTCCTGTTAATTTGAATTAGGTCATCACTCAGAAATGCCCCACTTGTGAAATCTTTTTTGGAAATCTTTTTTTTTTTTTGCTAAATAACATTTCCTTCAAAAATACGTTTGATTCATGATCTTCCTACATTTGATTTTAAAATTCAGCAATAATTTGTGAAATCTTAAAAGCCCAACAGTGTTACTCCGCTGGCTCTCTGGCCCCCTCACTTCTGCAGTACTTCCTGTTCAACCTCGCCGCCATCTCTGCTACTGTAATTTCCTGTGCTCTGAGTTGGCTGGTCTCATCTAGACTTCATAACTTCATATTCTTCATCATCAGGCCCCCGCCCACAGAGAATCACTTCACAGACATTCCTTTGCTAGCACCCTTAAATATCTTTGTCCCTATGCCTGTCTACTGTAAAAGATCTAAATATCTCCAACCCAGGTCTATCCAACCATTGGTCTGTCAAGTGTTACCAAAAGAAGAGCCACACAACACTCAAACTGATGAACCTTCAGAGTTTATGAGATCCAATTTCAGCAGACTTTAACACTGTGGAGTAATATGCCCCCAGTTATTTCTTCTCCTGGTCCCTTTAGTGATTATTCAAAATAAATATGCAGCTCCACAGGGCTGAATTAATCACTGTATATTCATATCACAGAATACTATTCATCCATTATTTCAGTAGATGAAGACTTAATGATGTTCTCTGTGACAGATTAAATTGCAAAGTGATAATAAAACCTTATTACAGTATGACTCCATATTTTGCTTAAAGCAATGTTCCAATCTGAATACAAAAATATTACAGACCAGTAACACCAAGGTATTTACTGATTTCTCTGGCAAGTGGCCAGATTATAGTTTGTCCTTTTTTGTTTATCTATACTTTGAAATATTTTGTTTGCTTCAAGTTAATCATATCTGTCTCAAACTGGATGCTGGGTTACCTAAACTGAACTATAAACACTGAACTATAAACACTATAGAACTATAAACACAAAAAGCGTTGCTGCTACTCCTCTACAAACTGGATACGTTCTTCACCCTAAGTTCCACCAAGATTTATGGGGTGTGTAGAGAAGTTGCAGGCAAAGGCAAGACCCTAGGGAAGGCTGCAAGCACCCTCTCTCCAGCATCCTGGATATTCTTTCACCTCTCAGGCCAGTACTCAACTGTGGATCAATGTTATGTATCTTGTCCATTTTGGCATCCAGGCTCCTGATTGCTCCTAGAAAGGTCACAAAAGCAGGAGGACTAGCAAATCTATTGTGTGTGAGCATGCTCAGTGGTGTCTGACTCTGAGACCCCAGGGACTGTAGCCTGCCAGGCTCCTCTGTCCATGGGATTTGCCAGGCAGGAGTACTGGAGTGGGTAGCCATGCCTTCCTCCAAGGGATCTTCCCAACCCAGGGATCAAACTCGAGTCTCTTGCATCTCCTGCCTTGGCAGGCGGATTCTTTATGTGCTGAGCCATCGGGGAAGTCCAGCAATACTATTAACACTATTAAAATGTTGGTTTTACTTTCCCACCATGGCTGGGCACTCAGCACCACCAGCTGTCAATCCTCTTACTTGGTTCATTTTCTCTCCCACCTTGGCTCAGGGATTATTTGAGTCTGTTAATGTTGTCAAGCTTCCCAAAGTTCCTCTCAGCAAACAATCTTGATTTCTTTACACATGAGTAAGCTGAGGCTAAAAGGCATGACTTTTTCTCTGACAGCAACTCATCTACAGGCAAACCTTATAGAAAATTAAAGCCTTACCTTCCTACAGAGAATGAGTAACCTATTCACCACTTACCTTTGTTGGTATTCTTTTGGAGTTCCTCCTCAGGAAAACATCACCACTACAACTCTCTCACACTTAAAAGTCAGTATGTAGCCACCATCCTATCATTTAATTTCTACTTTTCATTTCATATCCCAACCACATACACACTGTGAACCACTTTTCATCCTCTTGTAATTTGAGTTTTACCTCCTGAAACTCTGGTCCAACCATTAAAAGGCTATCAAGGACTTCCTGTCTGCACAATTCAAAGGGTATCTTTCTTCCTAGACCAAGTCAGCCCTTGATGCTCTCTACCCCAGGGCTTCCCCAGGGGCTCAGTGGTACAGAATCCACCTGCACTGCAGGAGCTGCAGGTCCCGTCCCTGGGTTACCTAAACTGAACTATTGAGCCACTCGAGTATCCTTCCCCGGAGAATCCCATGGACAGAGGAGCCTAGCGGGCTGCAGTCCCCAGGGTCACAGAGAGTTGGAAACGACTGAGGCAGCTTGGCATGCACAGGCTCTACCCCACGGGCTGCTGGGACACTGGACTCTCCTCCTCTGCAGACCTTTCTAACCGCTCTCTCCCCATTCTGCCCTGTGGGCTTCTCTCCCACTTACACTTGCGTGTCTAATGTTTCCCGAGGTAATTTTTCTAGGTTACTTCATCCCTTCTAAGACTTAAATTACTACTAGTATTTTGAGGATATTCAAGTTAACATTTCGAGCCTTAGACATTCATCTGTGCATGTTCAGACAGCTCTCTGGATGTTACAGAGGCATCTCAAACTTAGGAGGTCTAAAAAGCAATTTACTATCTTGCTGCTATCATTTATCCAATGCCAAAAGGCATGCATATCTCGGTTTTATTTCTACCTTCTACCAGAAAACTGAAGAGTCTATAGATCTTTTTATCAACTAACAAACTGTTGTAAAGAATTAAGAACCTACCTTAAACTTTATTATTAGCTTTTGTGTTTCTGTTGGGATCTCTTCTTTTTTTTTCTCCTTTCCTGCTTCCTGTTCGCCATCAGACTCACTATGTGAATCTGATGATTTGGACTCTTCTAGGGTGCCCAGTGACTTTTCATTGACTTTACTAGAAGGCAGATCACCGGAGTGTGGAATGAAATCATCAGGTTTTTCCCATCTGGATTCTAATCAACACATTTTAACAGTCATGTTATTTAGTTACCAATGCTATTTAAAAGTAATTTCCAATATAATGTTTCCTATTACAAGACATTATTGAGTGACAACACTGTATCTGTTTCACACCATCACTTGATCAAGAAGATAAGCATTCTCAAAGATCTTGCTATTAGCTTTCAGAAATTAAATTCAAGCAATCTGGGTTCACTAGGTGTATCAACTACAGCCCCAACAGAAAGAGACTGAAAAACTGGGTAATACATTCTGAAGACTCAAAATTTAACCACCACCAATTTCAGGAAACATGGTAATGGACACACAGGAGATTTTCTGAAATTTATTTATCACAAAATTTCCCTGGGATCTTCACAAAGTGAAATAATATGGCAAAGATCTGAATACATAAAATTTGTCATTTTATAGTAAGGAGAAAAAAAACACCTCAGTTGAACTATACTGCCACCCAGTGGTTTGTTGGGTTTTTAGTAAAATGACAGCAGCTCTAATTATCTTGCAGTTATTCTCTTTAGTTTAATAAAACTGATTCTAAAATTTATTGTTCAACTGGGAAAGTTTTAAGAGTAAAAGGGGCTCTATTAATAATCACACTGGTCCAGACATAAACTGAAATTGTTGGGGGCAAATCAATATGTACAGTCCCTTATTAACTGCAGGGAACTTTCTAGCACTAGTGAAAAACAATACTTTTCCTTGCCTCTATTTCACATAAGTAACAAAAGAGTTTTCATGAAAAATTTGTGAAGCATCTAATATGTACTAGGCACTGTTTGGGGACCCTTACAGACACAGGACCATCATGACCTCACAGAGTACATGATCGACACTACTTAAGAGCAACTACAGGCTCGGTGACTTGCCCACAGTCACAGAGCTGGTAACGGAAGACGCTGTGCACTGAGTTCACTCAGATCTAACCCCGGAGTTATAAATTATTTTATATCTATAAAGATTTAGTATATCAGGTTTACTGAGACAGAACCACTGTCATCATTGGGCAGACTGGGTATCTACCTAAGGGAGATGAAAACGGTCTTTTCCTTCTAAAAGACTTAATGCTATGTAGCAATCTTTGGATAGCAGGAATCAAAAAACAACAACAAAAACCATCTCAGAGTTACACCAATACTATAGCTATTTTGGTAAATTTAACTGCAGAAGAAATCAACTATAATTATTGCAAAGACTAGTTTTATGAAATTAGATAAAATCTTAATTTGAAAAACTTAGATAATAATTAGGTAACAATAATTACACGTTTTCTAAACATTTATGTAACTGAAAATTATTAAAGTGAAAACTAGACAGCCTTAGCCACTGCTAAAGTAGCTTCAGTTCTGCTTTTTAAAAAAGGAGAAGGCAAGTTGAATGAGTGATCTTCCAAAGCAAAGATTATATTTCTAAAATAATCATGATAAAACCAATCACAGTGGAGAAAGTAAAAATGAGTTTTGAAGTAAAATTTGTGAATGCAGTGTCACTTGAGAATAACAATGTACAGCTCAGTATATTACAGAAACCTCTCTGCTTTTCCATTGTATTAATGCTTTTAAATTATAAAAAATAATACACTGGAGAAGGAAATGGCAATCCACTTCAGTGTGCTTGCCTGGAGAATCCCAGGGACAGAGGAGCCTGCTGGGCTGCTGTCCATAGGGTCACACAGAGTCAGACACGACTGAAGTGACTTAGCAGCAGCAGCAGCATACTAAAATTCTCAAGTTCAGACAATTCACCAGCAGGCTAATGAGCATTGTCAGGTACAATTTTAGATAGTTTAAAAGATCATCAAAGGTACTACTTACCCCCTGTTTCAGTATTATAATAATAGGTATAGCCATCTTCACTTAACCCTTCTATCCACACAGTCTTCCCTGTTGCCTAATGGGAGGGGAAAAAACCCAACATAAACTGAAGATGTGATTATATATTAGATAACTAAGACAGTCAGCCAACCTTTCCTTTCCTATGGAAACCTGGGAGTTGGTACTGATCACGGCCAGGAACCTGGTTTGTGTTAGTCATAAGCCACCTTTCATGAATGGAATATCACACTTCTGAACACCTGGACAGTTCTTTGCAGACTGACTGGAATATGTAAATGGCTGCTGCTAAGTCGCTTCAGTCGTGTCCGACTCTGTGCGACCCCATAGACAGCAGCCCACCAGGCTCTCCCGTCCCTGGGATTCTCCAGGCAAGAACACTGGAGTGGGTTGCCATTTCCTTCTCCAATGTAAATGGCAACTGACTGCAAATCAACTAATAACATTCGCCCTGCATGGACTTTGAGGGTAGACAACACTTTTCCACCTCCATCTACCCTTTTAACGAAAGGATTATAGAAACAAAGGAACAAAGTGCCTGGGGGGATTGGGAGGCTTATCTGCAAGTAAATCCAATTAACTAAACCCAACAAAATTCCCAAAAGCCAATCACTTTAAAGAATAAAGAAAATACTATTAATGTGCTTCAGTTACCTTTTTTAAGTTCCCTTGAAATCCTTCAGGTTTCTCCCACTGAGATGCTTAAAGCAAAATATACTGTATTTGTAAAATCTTTCCAAAATAATTTAATTTGGCAAATATTTACAATACATTCAACATGAATGAAATACTATGTGTCTGTAGTTTAACACATAATTCAAAAATAAAAGAAACAATATACACCCTAGTAGTATCGTGTAGACAGGTGAATGCTACGTACCCAAGAAGGGGTGGACGAAATGAAGGAGAAGAAGTTACTGGTGCTTCCACAAGAAGCATTAGAGCCAGAGAGGGCTCCCCTTAAAGCCTTCTTGGAATTCAGGTTTGATAACTTTTGAAGGCATGAGAAGGCCTTTTGACATCTTGGGGCAGGGGAGGGTGAAAGATGGAACGAATGACTCAAGACAGAAATAAAATGAAATATGCAGGAATTAAAAACAAGCATTGCTAAGAGAAACAGTACATAAAGTAGGATGGTGAACAAAGGCAGCAAGGAATAGGCTGCAGAAGGGGGGAAAATGTAATTAATGAGTAATTACTATGTAAAGTTAAGACAATATTTAGCACATAATTATTTATGGTTCACTGCTAACTACAACATGCACTTCACTAACAGCTCAGTGAAAACTCTCAAGAGATTATTACTGTTTCTGTGTGGTCAAAGACTGACTGTGACTCTACAGATCTTATTAATTCCCACAATATTGGTAGCCCAAGGTTTTTTTCCCTCATTAACTCTCCAGTCTCATCTCCTACCTTCCCAACCATTCTTAACTTTTCTTCTACCCATTCCTTGAATATATGTACCACCCACCCTTTTTATTTCTTGTTCTCTACTTTCTCCATGTGATTCATACACCCCTAAAAGTTAAAATATTTACAAAGTTTTAGCAAGAAAATATAAAGCTACATATTTATTTATATTTATAGTTGATAAGGAACTCACTATCAAGTCTTTTAATGATCACCTTGAATCACTATGAAAAGGGTACATTTTTTAAATGGCACATAGTTGTTTTTTTTTTTACCACTGTGGAAAAATGTAGTTACAGACTTTCACTGTTTAAGTGTTCCGATAATAACTAAAAGTTCTAACACAAAATAAACTGTCAGTTATCATTTTCTACTGTCTTTATGCCTAAATGACGTACCTCCTGTGATAAGATCATAATAGTAATGGTGACCCTCAGAGGTTATGCCTTCTACCCATCTGCCCTTTGAAGGGTCTTTTTTCTTTTTCTTCTTTTCTTTCTGCTGATTTGATGCAGAGGCGGGTGGGACAGTGCTGGTTACTGGTGACACACTTGGCTCGGAGATCTCTAGAGAAAGGTGAAGGAAGGGTAAAGTAGCTTATGTAAAGTTTTCCTTTCTGGTTTAATAATTTTATTCCAATCAAAAGCCTGACAAGATTCCTTTGGGAACCTGACACATTACTACAAAGCCTATTTGGAAAATGAAACATGCAAGAATATAAGACTATCAAGGAGAACATCCCAAAATATATATATGAGGCAGACAAACGATAAATCTTTATAACAAATATGACAGAGGGTTAATGCTCCTAACAAAGATCCCTTACAAATGTAACTTTCTAACTCAAAAGTGGGCAAAAAGTCAAAGGTAACTCAGAGAATTAACATTATCTTCACTAATAACCAAGGAAATGCAAATACATAAAATTGTTTTTGCATTAGATCAACACTGAAAAGAATAACCAAACCCATTGTTAGTCAGTCTTATCCATCAGGTATTTACATGGGTGTAAAAAATAGGTAGTTTTTACGGCTTTGCTTTTTTCCAAAGGAACAGTTATTTCCAACATCAGTTAATAAAATAATTTTATTTCTAGGAAAAGTGTAAATCAGCCCAACACTTGTGGAGACAGTCTGATTTCATCAATCAATTTATAAAACATTTGCACTGCAAATCTGCAATCTCACTTCTAGAAATTGAGCCTACAGATATAAATTGTGAAAACGTGCCTGCGTAAGGGCGCTCACGGAAATATTTTTTCTAACAGCGAAAAACTCTACGAATCCTAAATGTTAATCAGGAAGAGACTAATTACATAAAATATGGCATTTTAATACACACATATATACATATACACATATATACAATTCAGCCACCAGAAAGGACCGTGCCATTTGCAACAACATGGACAAACCCTGGACACATCATGCTAAGTTAAATAAGCCAGATACAGAAAGACAAGTACCGTATGGTTATCACTTAAATGTGGAATCTAGAAAAGTCAAACTTGTAAAAAACAGAGCAAATAGGGGTAGTTAACAGGGGATGGGGGGTAGAGGGATAAGACTGACGCTGTTTAAGGATACAGATTTGCAGTAAGTAGTAAACAAGCCAGAAATCTAATGCACAGTTTGAATATAGACAATGATATACAATTATGTAATATGATAAATACTGCTATAATACAATCACGTTACAATAAATCTATCACACTAACGTACTGTAAACCTTAAATTTACATAATGTGTCTAAGAGTCAATAAAAAAATTAAAAAGTAAAAAAAACTCTACTTTCTAGTAATAAAGTCAATTATCTGTCCACAAAAGGTTAATTCACTATAATTTAACTACATAAATAAACATGATTCATAGTTTTGATGGTATGGATAGAGCAAACTGGGGTTATAAGGCAAGGCCTATTTTTTAAATGAATAGATCCATTTAGCCAAAAAATTAGGATCCAGAAAAAACTCAAGTGTCTCTGAAATGAACTCCTGGCCTAATAAGACAGAGCAAGGGCTAGGTAACCCCTAGTATAATACAGTTGTTGTGAATGGAGGTACTGAAAGATGAAGATCAAAAGCAAAATGAAACGCGGACGAGCAGAAGTCCCAGAGTCTAAACAGGGCTGAGATACACAGGCACAGCACTGAGAGTACACCGAGCGTGCACTCCTCTATGCAGGCAGTAAGAGCTCACTCAGCACCTGAGGTGCTCCTTTTGAAACACGCTGGCTGCTCTTTACCTGACTCTAGGCCGAGCCTCTTCAAATCCTCCTGGTATGCTTTCAGGGCAGCTGCCTCCATTGCTGCAAACTCCTTTGATGCCCTTTCTTCCTCCTTCGCCTTATCCAGGCTTTTCTGTTTAATCTACTTAAGACACATATAAAGGTGAATGCTAGATAAAGGGCTGATATTTACAGAGAAAAACTGACAAAGAAAGAAACAAACTAGAATACCTCACTGATCCTCTTCGCCACATTTTCTTTATGATTCTTTCCTCTTTCATGAAATTCAATGCTCTTGAAGGTTAAGAAAAAGACAAAAGACAAAGGAAAACTACACATCATAATGTTCACAGCAAAGTAACAGTAAATAGGGAAATGGAACATAACAAAATTGAAGTACAATTGGCAGAAAAGATAAAATTAATGTTCATGCAAACTGGCCCTTTTAATCAAATGATGCTAAGGAACCAAACCACATTATTTATTATTACGCCCTCTGACAAGCTGTCCTTTGGTGCTTAAAATAAACTATGATGACCATATTAATAAAGAAATATACAAGGTACCCTTGATGACTAATCTAGTGAATATGACTGTAATAAGGACTCAAGCAAGACATGAAGCCAAAAGAGGAGTTGGGGGAAAAAAAAAACCTCACACTTCAAGAAACACCTCCTGGGGCTTCCTTGGTGTCTCAGTGGTGAAAAGTCTGCCTGCCAATGCAGGAGATGCGGGTTTGGGAAGATCCCACACACTGAGGAGCAACTAAGTCAGCGCACCACAACCACTGACCCTGTGCTCTGTAACAAGAGAAGACACCACAATGAGGAGTCCACGCATGGCAAAGGGAGAAAGTCGGAGTGCAGCAACAAAGACCCAGCAAAGCCAAAAAGAAATCAAATAAAAAAAACACCCGTCAACATAAAATGTCACAACCAATGAGTCTAGAATTTGTACTGCTCTATTTGCCACATTATGCTTAAAAAAAATAAACAGTGATTCTTAGCTTCTCCAAATTGAGAGAAAAGTAAGCATTAAAAAATGCCTTCTAAATTGTAAACAAATACTATTATACAAAGTGTTAATGGTACAAAATGTAAAACTCCTATGCAGGGCAATCTAAAATTAGGCTGCTGTAATAGAGAACAAAGGAACTCCTTATACACTGATGATAAAAGAGCATCAGGAAATGCTGTCCAATTAAAAAAAATAAAACTGTGGTGCAAGACAGTATAAACAGCATGCTACCTCCTATGCACATTGGAATCTACAGAAACATTTAGATACAGATATGGAAGCACAGACAAGAAAATGAAAAGAGGGGTAACCTATGAGGAATGATGATAACTGGATGGATGGGGACTGAGCTGGTGAGTGAATATTATTACCTATTTAAAAGCCAGAATGCTCCCTAAGTTACAAATGTGTTGTATGAAATAAGAAATTTCTGGTTAAGTTTGCAAAGTTCTGTCAATAAATTCTTACCTAATGCACTTGCTGAGTTACTCTAAAGTACTGCTGTGAATTCCTCTTTAAAGTGTGACTTCGTAAAGCAAATATTCATCCTCTATTTTTCATATCTTGGTTTCCTAAAGTTGGTTTTACTATACAGAGAATATTAAAGGCCCAATCAAAAATAAATTGTTTCTAGTTAAAGGTTAAATCAATGTGTATTAGCCATTCAAGGAAATGAAGAAAGACTATCCTAGAAAGAATTATTTTCTCTAGATAACTCAAAAACTTCACTGAATTGCTTGCATACTTCCAAGGAAGAGAGGCTATCGGTGATTTGTGTAGCTTTTAAAACTTGTGACTTTTTTTTTGGTAAGGATGGGCAAAATCAAGCAAAAAGTCAAGAACTTTAGCAACTATTCAAAAAGAAATAAACAAAAAAAGACAAAACTGAAAAGTATCATCAAACCCTTTGCAGATAATAATAAATAAATGTAAAAAAAAAAAAAAGTCTACCAAAGAAACATAACATGGTTACAGATGGTGCTACTATTCTTTTACCCATCCACCTCTACCAAGTAATAAGGATACGAATATACATCTAAAAAATATCCTATCAGTTATCTACTACGTACACAGTACAAAGACATGCATGAGATGGGGTGAAAAAAAATCAATGGTGTCTTTCGTTTTATGTCTTAAGAGGTGAATATGGACTAAAAGATACCAACTAACAATGTGCTTAAAGTTTGCTATTTTCATATTCCATGACAAAGATAATGATGTCTTTCAAATTTAAGCATTTAGAAATATAAAGCTCTACATCAAATATATTTAACTACATTTAGAACAGAAATATACAAGGAAAACTACAATAATGTTGTTTCTTTTCACACGTTAAGGACTTTCTGCTTTTACTTTTCTTTGTATACAACAATATTACAAACAGCACCTTCATAACCTAGGTGTTTCATAAACATGAATGTGATTACCCACTCAATGTCCATTTCCTGAATGTGACTGAAGGGCCAGAGAGAAATAGTTTGGCTTAGTACATAATCAAATTTGGGCTGATGATAAAGAAGAAGGCTGTAGCTTTCCTACAAGGAATAAAAAACACAACAGAAATTGTTCGATGTTGTGAAAAATCAACAGCAACGCATATGAAAGTACTTTGTAAGCTCTCAGTTGAGATAAAAAAGGAACATCTCGCATGAATACAGTATTAGGAGACTCTCTAATAGAGGAATCATCATACAGGCCTATTGTCTGCGATCCAACACTTGCAGTAATCACAGAATTTCTTTGGTTGTGACTTCCAGTAGTCTGCCCTGGAAAAGAAAAAACAAGTGTATTTAGAATCTAAAAAGGTAATTTTTGCATGATTTACGTCTTCTTAGAGTTCGAAATGCAAGCTTCAGAATCTTGTTACACACAGCATCCTGCTTTATTATTTAGCTGATTGAAAGCAACCAACTGAAATTCTGTTGTCACTAGAGTAAAAAATTCTGCACCGGATTTAAAACTCCCTTTAACAAAATAGCTTTTAAAAAATGTATCATTTGTTATTGTCACCAGTGTAAAGAAACAAGGAACAGGTTGGAGAAGATCATCCATTCCTTTCTGGCATTTTTGGAGTGAGGTTACCGTAATGGAGACTTGAAACTCATAAAGTTCACGTTAAATCAAGTTATTTCCACTCAAAGAACTAAACATAAGACGCCTATGGTGGGAGACTGTGGCTCCTCAGAGACTACCAGTTAATAGTTTGTTCTTGAGCCTCAAGGCAAGAGAGTTTGGAAAAGCCAATGGCTCTCTCAGCTGGCAAGACCAAAAATTAAAGTCATAAGCTAACCAGGGCTGGCCGCTTCTAGCAGGCGGAGGCGGCAGCGGTGGCCGCAGTCCAACCCTACGGTTTCAAAACACCCCACGGTTCAAGCGCCACCAGAACGAGGATGCCCGCGGCTCCCGGCGGTGGAGGCGGCAGCAGCCCTCCGTCGCTCCACGGCGGCCGTCCTACCTGCAGGGGCCGCCAGCCTCCCTCCCGGAGCCCGCGCGTCCCCACCCCGGGACGGGGAGAACCGGCCCCGCCGGTCCGTGGCCGGCCCCGAGCGAGTTAAGGGCGCTTCCGTCACGCCCCTGGCCGAGGGCGGACGGAGGGGAGAGGGGCGGTGGCGGAGGGAGAGCCCCGGCGGGCGAAGGGCCGCCCGGAGAAACAAGACCTCGTTGTTTGAGAGCCTGAGAGACCCGACTCACATGACTGGACCAGGCGCTCCGCGGGCCGCCCCCGAACCCGGCCGAGGCCCGCGTTCTCCGCGCGGGGAGAACTGGGCCCCAGCTCACCACGAGGCCCACCGGAGCCTCGGCGCGCGGACGCCTCCCACCGTCTCCGGGGCCCGCGTTCCGGCGCTCCCATCTACGGGTGCCCCAGCGACCCAATCCGCGTTCGCGCTCTCCTCCCCCGCGCCCCCCTCGAGGGGCGGGCCTCCGGCTCCCCGAGAGGTGGGGTCGTTATAAGCCGGCGGAGGGCGCCGACAAGGGGCGAGAGCGCGACGGGACTTGAGGGCACGCTCGAGTCTCGTGTCCCCGCGTCAGTTCGCCTTCTCTCTTTCTTGTCCCCTCCCGAGATCCAGAACCTCCACCCTCCTTCTAGGCTCGCTGGCTCGTGGCCCGAGGCTCGCGCGCCGCCTCCGCCCCGAACGCAAACAGCTGTTCCCAGAGACGTCGCCGCCCTCAACTTTGCCAACTAGTTCGCACGCACTCTCACCGGCGGAGCAGCCCGGACCCGTAGGCTGGGGCGCGGGCCGTTGGCGGAGTTTTAAAAAAAAAAAAAAAGAAAGAAAGGTGAAACAGCTGGTTTCGGGGCCGAGAGTCGCCGGGCTTGGCCTCAGAACTTTTCCTCAGGCGGCGGAGCGACCCCGCCCCGTAGTTGGGACGCCCGCGCGCTCCTACTGGGCGCGCTCCCGGGCTCGAGAGCGCGTGGGGAGCTGGGGTGCAGGCGGCGGCGGCGGCTGCTGGGGCGGCGCTGAGGCGGCGGCAGCGGCGGGCGGTGGAGCTGGGGCGGCGGCGGCGGCGTTCACTCTTGTCAGGTGAGTCACCGCGGAGCTCTTTGCAGCACTTCCCATATGGTCTAGCGGTTAGGATTCCTGGTTTTCACCCAGGCGGCCCGGGTTCGACTCCCGGTATGGGAACGTGGTAGCACTTTTTAGAAACAGACAGGCAAAACTGACTTGTTTTATTTCCAGTGGCTCTGGGTCTTTTTTTTTTTTTTTTTCCTGACCCCGCGACCCCCAATGCCAGGTGATTTTTGTGGAAAACGAGCCTTAGAGCAGCGTGGTTAGACCTGGGCTGCCTCGAGTGCGGAGTCGGGCGGGCGGGAGGAGCGGCTGCTCGCGCGGGAGGCCGGCGGGGCTGGGGCGCGGGGCACGGAGTTTCACTTCTCCCGGGGCCGTCCTCCCGCCGCTGCGGGCCCGGGCCGTCCCCTCCCCAAAGCTCGGGAGGTGATGATTAACCCCAGCCTCGCCTTATCGGCCCCCAGCGCCCCCCGCAGGCCCACACCCTCGCCTCGGACGGTCCGGAGCGACGCGGGGCGTGTTCGCCCGCGCCCGGCTCGGAGCCCCGAGTCAGCGCGCCCGGGTTCTTCACTAGAAACACCCTGCCCGCACCCCGGACCCCCGACACAAAGCAGCCCCTTGGCGGGGTGCGGGCCGGGGACCCCCGGCGACCGCGCCGCTGCCGCTCGCTCGGCCGCGGGTCCCCCCGGGTCGCCCGACCCCCGCGCCGAGGGCATCCCGGCTAGACCTGTGGGACGCCGGCCGCCGATCACAGAAAGCTCCCCAGACTCGGGAGCCGCAGACCTGAGCGCTTTGGCTCGGGAAGAGAGAGGGCATCCGGCCCAACACGCACACACGCGCGCGCACGCGCTCTGGAAAAGAAAAATGACCACTGGGATGAGATGTCTTTCAAGAAGAAATGTGACTTCTCCCAAGGGTCTATAACGTTTTGAGCGCCACGGCTAGAAAATCCTGGCGTGGTGGTGGAGCTCGGAAGAGAGAAAATTGGCCGGAGCCTGGGGAGGGGATGTTATAACAAAGTTTCACTGTATTTTTAAATATAGAAGCCCTGTGTTTATTACAAAGAAGGGGCAGCTGTGTCAGCAGCATGTGAGCTGTAAACGAAACAAAAGCGTTATCTTAAATGCAAGCTGAAATTAGAAAATGGGGTGAGCTATATAATGTTTAGCCTATTGGGCCTTTGGGAACAAATGAAGGAGGAAGAAGTGCCTCTTGTGGATGGGTTTCAGGGCAGTGCCATGACAAACAGCAGAAAGTTCAGTTGTATGTGCCTTCCCAAACTCTTGTTTTGATAGTTTTAGCTGTACAGTGAGTTTTGAAATAATCTGTTAGTGTGATCTGCATGATTAAGAATTAATTACTTTCACATTGTAAATAAACTTCCACAGCTAAATATGTTTTAGATCATCTCCATTAATTCAAATATTTGGACGTTTACACCAAGCACCCTCAGATATTTTGAAAGATGACTGATGTTCAGGTTTTTTTTTAATGTGAGGAGGTTATGGAGGGACTACTAAAAGAAAGTATATTTTGGCGCCTTTGATCAGTATGACTTTGTGTAGCTCTTTCTCTTCTTTGCGCTCTGGGTTTAGAGCCATAAATTCTTGATAATGCATGTCACTCACAAACTTTAGAGCTTCAGGAATTGTTGAGCAATTCTTGTGTTGGTAATAAGAGTGGAAAAGTTTTGTTTAAATAGAGGATTGTGTCATTGTTCAGAAACCATTTACTGAAGAATTAGGCTCGAATTTGGAAGAAGGAAAAGAACTCTCTGACTTAATTGTCCTCATAGTGCTTGATTCGTGATCTTGCATTTCCTAATGACTTGTATTATACTGTACCAAATTGTGCTAAAATGGATGTGATTTTCAACTGAGTACCAGCTATAATTGCAAATGGCTTTATATGTACTCGAGGGTATGCTGAGAGGAGTAGTCTGATGACAGTTTCTCAGTGTCCAAGACATAGACTTACAGGGTTCCTTGGTGGCACAGCAGTAAGAATCTACCTGCGAATGCAGGAGACATGGGTTTGATCCCTGGTCTGGGAAGATTCCACGTGCCTTGGAGCAATTAAGACTGTGTGAACTGTGTGACTCAAATACCGAAGCCCGAGCGCCCTAGAGCCTGTGCTCCACCGCAGGAGAAGACACTGTTTTGAGAAGCCCTCGGACTGCAATGTAGAGTAGACCGTGCTCGCCGCAACTGGAGAAAGCCCTTGCAGAGCAATGAGACCTAATGCAGCCAAAAATTAAGAAAAAAACAAAAAAAGACATAGGTTTATATATTGTGTACCAGGCAGAATTGGATAGGTCAGCTTCTGAGTTACAGAATTGCTTCAGGAGCATATGGGTGAGAAATCAGTTCCACTCAGGGAAGAGGACTAGAGTCCAGACGCGGAGAGGAGAGTGTTTGTCCTGGACCTTGAAGAATGGGTTGAATTTCTCCTGGTGGGGAATGTGTATCAAAGCTGAGCTTGGTGGGGGGGCAGTGTGAGGCAGGCAAGTAGCCTGGTTGGGCAAGAGTACTCAGTACCCAGAGAGAGAGTCATTGGGATCAGGTTGGGATATTAAAAGAGAATTTTAGCTTGATAACTTTTGACTGGTTAACAAGTTGTTTTGAGTTTGAGCGAACTCCAGGAGATAGTGAAGGACAGGGAAACCTGGTGTGCTGTAGTCCATGGGATTGCAAAGAGTCGGACAAAACTGAGCGACCGAACAACAACACAAGTTGTTCTAAGGGCGTGATGTTTATGTCAGTAGAGTTTTTAAAATATTTTTTGTCTCTTTGAAAAAACTAAATATAGCATAATATGTGAGAAATTTTTGTTGTTTTATGAGTCAAACTATATAGAAACATGTAGAATGTTTTGTGCTCATAAGTTTTATGGTTAGCAGTTAGATATTAAGTTTTAACTAATGGAATGGAGAAAAATATCAGTCAACTAGAATTACATTTAAAAGAAGGGATTTTAGGTTTAAATTATGAGAATGATCTGCACTATAGTCTTACAGAGTTGCTTTATTGAAAATGACCTTAATATAGTAAAACAGAGCTACTAGTTACTGTCTGGGAAGTCTACACCTTAAATTGGTGAAGACTAGGTAATACATTGGTCAGGACTAGGTAATACTAGGTAATACATTTGTAATCATATGCTTGTGCCTGTTTCCAGAACACAATTGGTAGTCTTGTTTTACATGTTTTCTCTTGAGCCACAGAGTTATACTAAGTGATGTGAATTACCCAAGTAGTCTCTTTACTATTTGCTACTGTTTGGTGCAATTAGAAGAGAAGATGTATGACAGATCAGTAAGTGTTTGCATAGATGAGCACTTAAAGCAATATAAGGGATTAAAAAATTATGATGACTTTTTAAAACCCAAAGACCTTTACCATGGTCTCTGAGCCCAACATTGTCTGACCTCTGCTTGCCTCCCCAGTGCCACCTCCTACCTTGACCTTTTCATCGTACTTCAGCCACACTGGCTTCTTCCTTTTTGTCTCTTGAATGTGCCAAACTTGTCCTTTCTCAGTTTTGTGTCTTGCTGTTTGCACTGCCTGCAGTATTCTCTCTCTAGCTCTGCACATCTCACTCTTGTCGATGTTACCTTATCAGAGAGACCCTGTGTACTAGCTGCTGCTGCTGCTGCTAAGTCACTTCATTCGTGTCCGACTCTGTGCAACCCCATAGACAGCAGCCCACCAGGCTTCCCCGTCCCTGGGATTCTCCAGGCTAGAACACTGGAGTGGGTTGCCATTTCCCTCTCCAATGCATGGAAGTGAAAAGTGAAAGTGAAGTCGCTCAGTCTTGTCTGACTCTTCGCGACCCCATGGACCGCAGGCTACCAGGCTTCTCCGTCCATGGGCTTTTCCAGGCAAGAGTATTGGAGTGGGGTGCGATTGCCTTCTCCGCCTGTGTACTAGAGATTCTCCCTTTTCTGGTTACTGTCTAGTTACCTTATGCTGTTTTATATTCTTCTTATCTAAAATAAACATTTTTGTTCCTGTTTATTTCTTGTCTTGTTCTACTTAGAATATAAGTTCCATACATATGTACTTAGTCACTAAGTCTTGTCTGACTCTTTGCAACCTATGGACTGTTGCCCACCAGGCTCTTCTGTCCATGAGATTCTCCAGGCAAGAATACTGGAGTGGGTTGCCATTTCCTTCTCCAGGGGATCTTCCTGACCCAAGGATTGAACCAGAGTCTCCTGCATTGCAGGTGGATTCTGTACCACTGAGCCTCCATGGAAGACCTAAATTCCATGAGGGTGAGTATGTTATATAGTAAGATCACTTCTGTTTTGTAAGTGTCTAATGGTCATGAAGAAGTTG